AGTGTCACTCCACAATAAAATTGTAATTTAACAACAGCAACAACAACAAAAAACCTGAATTGTATAAGAAAGACTGCTTTAATCAGTTGATGTTTGGATGGCACATAATGGTCCTGTGTTTGGATAGATCTGTCTACACTCTATAAGGGCTATTAATTCAGTATGGAGAGAGATCATGTGACATCATAAAACATCAAAGTAAGAAGACATAGCTACGTCTCTCTAACATTTATTTTTGGGTCCACAGGTCAGGCACATCATGGCCAGGTATCTTACATCTCTCCCCCAATTCACCTGGACTCTGAGCTAGAAAGACCCCCTGTTAGAGGTAAGTGTTTGTTTTTTCTTTTTTTATTATTTTTAAATTTTTATTGTTGAAAGTATTACATATGTTACCCTTTTTCCCCCACTGACCTCTTCTAGCGTGTTTCCACCCCTCACCCAGGCCTTCACCATCCCATGGTCTGGGGCCATGGTTGTGCATACATGCATACAAGTTCTTTGGTTCGTCTCTTCCCACCCACCCTCCATACTCCACCTTCCCTCTGAGATTCCACAGGAGACTATTTATTCTTTGATGAAGGCAGTTAATTAAGGTAAAGGTGATAGTAAATATATATTTTACAATGCAGTATCTGTTTAAAAAGCAAGGGGAGATGGTGTGTAAGAAATCTGATGACAGAATGAGTAAGTCTTATTTATTCACTAAAAATGTGAACTATAGTTCTGATAAATGTTTGTAAAGCAAAATAAGAAATAGGGCTGCATAGTGATTGAACTAGTGGAAGTCTAGTTGAAAACCAACCTAGATTTAGAGATTAACAGCTAACCGTTACTTTTTTAATTGGAACTTTCTTCTTTCGTTATCCTATTTTTTTTAATAAATTAAGATGGCTTAATCTAAGTCATTGATATATTTATTTTCTTACAATTTGATATTTTATATTAGTTTTTAAAAAGTTATTTTAGTATGAATAGTTCATTTTGTAATCTATAAATTAAAATGTCTATTTTAAATGGATACCACTTGTTTAAAGATTTTTTTAAGAAACTAGTCATACAAAATAAAAGTTAAAATAGCATTTATAATTACATAATCTAAATACAGAATGTGGTTTTCTCTTTTTAAGAAATATTTATTACTGATTTCCAAACGTTTTATACGTATCCTAAGGTTAATTTTCCAGTTCAAAGTATTGCAGTATATTTTCTTATACCTTCAGAAAGTATTAATTGCTTGATGTAATAAAAGTCTTCAGGTCTGACTTTTAGGAGCATGTTTTCTCTAATGCTATTTCTCCTGCCAGGACTCTCTTACCTTCTCTTTTCTATTCACTAAGTTTCTACCAATGTTCCAAGGTGCTTCTTTATCTTCAGTTCCTCAGTAAGCTTCCCTGGACTCTGTACTAGGGAGGAACTAAGTGGATGTCTCAGTTCTCCCTGTGCTCCCTGGTGCCCCCCAACCCCCACCCCCCTGCACTTGCCTCCACGTTTACACCTAATCCATTGTCTTTTATTTTTCAGTGTGCATGTTTCCCTTTCTCTTCTGTAAGGTCTTTGAGGGGAGAGAGTGTCAGAATTTCTATACTCCTCCAGCCACTGGTCTGTGCGTGGCACATACTGGGCAGTCACAGGACAATTTCTCCGTAGCTGAAATTTAAAGAGACAGCCTAGGTGCTGAAAGATGCATCCTCGGTGTTCAAGCAGAAAAGGGAGTGGGGACCATAGGAGAATCCCACAGAGACGGAACCAGAATGAATTGAAACATGAATATGTCAAAGTGGTGATCTTTTTAAGGGAATATGCTGGGCACACAGTAAAATGGGAACCGTTTGAGAGGAAGAGACTGGAAAGATGCAACAGGCAGATCGTGAAGGACTGTATCACACATGCAAAGGAGTTTGTATTTTATTCTGGAAAAGAATGATGGAATACTTTAATTTAAAAAAAACAAAACTGTTCCCTAAGTCAGTGGATACTACATTGTAACATGATCAGTGCTTGATATGAGAAAAGTATCTGTGAAGTCAGTGCGGGTAAAAGATGACTGGAGAATTAGTTAGGAATGTGCCAGCGGCAGTGGCTGGGCCTGAGGAATATGTTGAAGAGACGTGTCAGTCAGCTGAACAGAACCGGGGGAGGAACAGAAGTGCCTCCAAGGTTTCTATATTGATTAACAGCTTGGATGCTTATGACATCATCCCCCACCATGAGGAATAGGTACGTTTTACATTGACGCAATGCTTTAGATATGTTAATTCTTAGCAAAATGCTATTGCTCTGCAAGATGTAAGCCTGCTTATGCAAGTTGGTGACCTCAGTATAATTCAATTTTTCAGACATGCTCTCAGTATGGTTTGGGAAGAGTACTGTAAGCTCTTGCATAGGATGTGTAATAACCCACCCTCAAAGTTAGTGGCTTTAAACAAGAAACATTTGTTATAGTTCTCAGAGTCGGTTGAGCCACGTGAGTGCTGACTTGGATGCTGAGCAGTTGGCAGATGGTCGGTTTTGTGGGGGAGGGAGCTCGCATGTGTGGTAGTCAACTTGATGTCATTGGGGGTGATGGCCATATGGCTCTCATTACCCAGCAGCCTAGCACAGGTGCATTCCCATGGTGATAGGATTTCCAGCAATATATAAACAAGTCCCAGAGTTCACATGTTTTTCAGGACTCTGCCTGTGTCATGTTTGATTTGTCCCATTGGCCAAAGCAAGTTAGCCAGCCCCAGGCGTGAGAAAGCAGAAATGGACTCCATCTTACAATCCAGAGGACCATGAATACAGATAAAGAGAGGACTTTCGGGCAGATAAAGAGTAAAATAAATTTAGAAGGAAATAGGACAAAAACTAGCTGATAAAAATGACAGGATTTAGAGCTAATAAAGTTAAACTTGGGAGTTCTAGAACTACCTTGTTTTAGTTTCTTCAACTACTACACAGATCAGCAATGAGGACTTCACAGTATCTTTGTGAAGATTAGGAGTAATGCAGAATAAAGTCTGGCATCTGGTAGGCCCTAGATAAAACGTGGCTGTTACTTTTGGGTTCATTGCTGTGGCAAATGGGAAGAAGTTGAGCTTTGAAACCAAGGCAGACTTGCATGACCTTAGAATGATTGTCTCGATAACTTCCAGTTCTCATATCATTTATCTACTTACATTGGCTTAGAGACTCTCCTAAACTGCCTGGTGATTAATGCAATTGCAGCCGTAGTCACTAGCTCATGTGCCATAGTTCTACAGTTTTAAAAAAAAATTCTTAATTAGGTAAAGAGGCTGATATAAATCACAAAAATAACATGGCAGACAATCATGCGCTTTTTTCCTTAGACCTAATATTTTATTTCTAAAAATATTTTGAAAATGGGATAGAGTTGGCATAATAGCATTACTTTGGAACAATAAAATATTTCCTTTCAACTTTCAACTATCACTCCTCACCTTTATTTACTATTTTTAATTATACTGTAAGCTGATGTCAGTATTTATATGCAGTCAAATTAGACAAATGAACTACATTATATCTATTATATCTACATTGAATCTATAGATAGATATATGAAGATACAGATATAGATAGAGATAGATATTTATGTATAAATATAGGAACAGAGAGGGTCTCTCATGTATACTATAGTTTTTTATTTGAATTAATACAATAAGATAAATTATTTTTAAAAAATAATTGGGAATTTTATCTCCAATGATTTTTTTTTGTGATATTATATAGCAATAGCCTGGATTCTAACATTAGCTAGCAATTTTAGCTTTTATTTTTCTATTTGTTGCTAGAGTTTTATACATATTTCAAATATAGTCCCCTTCCTGCATTGACCTGTAGCTCTCTGTATTTTCTTTCTTGTCTACAGGCATGTTAAAGTTTTAGGAATTATTGCTTTATAGATAAATTCCTTGTGTACTTTATAAACTTGATTGCATTTTAATAGGAAAACCATACTTAATTTTTTTTTATATTCATCAAGCTAACCATACAAAACAATAACATTTAAGAATATAGTAATATAATTATCAATATTAGCACAGGGAATTTTTCAATACAAAATATGAACTATCTAATACAATAACACATCATATTGCTTCAGATGTTTTATCACTTCATTCTGTTTTCATCTGAAATATTTTGGATTACTTGGTAATTTTTTAAAGAGTATTGATTGTACTTTAAGTATTTGAGACAGTGGTCTAATTATTGATAACATTAAATTGTGTTTTAAAACCATATTCTTAAAAACAATTATTCAAAATATAAATATAGATATAGACATAGATATAAATATGACAATTTCATTCCTCTTTTTTTGCCCTCTCAAGTTCTATATCATATATGAAACATTTTCGTTTTAAATACCATGTCACCATCCTTTCTCCTTTCAATTCTCTTGATTTCTTTCAGTTTTGTTCATTTTTTAGGGAAAAATATTTTGTGAAATTATTGCATTTGTTTGTCAAATGTATTTTTTCTTTGGTATTGTGCATCTTAATTGTGGCCAACATGCTCTTAATAACCATATGGGAAATGTAGAAGCAAGTTACCAAATAGCCTTGAATAAAAAGTTGTGATCTGCATTTGAAAGTAGCCAAAATTCAGTAGCACTTACTGTTGAGTAAATTTGAGAGGTTCTGTTCTTTAAGTCTAATGTGATCATACATGGCATTTGGTCACATAATTTATGCCTGTGGTGACTTTATATGCATTCTTCAATTTACAGATTCTATTACTGAATAGAGGTGTAAATTCTGATAGTTTACTGGTGCATTAATGTCACAATACATTACAAGGTAATTAACCAGAGCTGCCACTATAAATAGAAAAATAGTCACAGTCCTCAGTATAAACTCCTTCATAAAAGTAAGATCCTGAGTCAGCATTCACCATTATAGTGATTTTTCTTGCCATACGTCTCATTAATCAGGAAAACAGCTTCATCTGGAAGCACTATTCTTATTAAAGCTTTCATTATGAAAATAACGTCATTATAATTTTGTAGTTAACTTAATGGGATTGATTATATATTTCCATACGCAAATAAGTCCTATATACTTTTCCGACGTATTTCCCAACTTATATATTATAACGGGAAATGAAAGACTACTTTGGTACTTTTGTAGCAGAGTTGTCAGTAAGCACAAGGGAGTTCTTGGAAGGGTGCATTAAGAGTTTCCGTTCTGAAGGTCATGTTTCCTCACCAACTATCCTTTTCTCCCCGGCCTTTATTTTGCCTCCTCACTACCCACGTGAAGACTATTCAACCTCAGAATTGTGTCTGAATTACAGTCAGGATTACTCACTGAAGTGAGATTTTGG